CTCTCTCTCTCTCTCTCTCTCTCTCTCTCTCTCTATCACACACACACACAAACACACACACACACACACCCCATCTACCCTACCGAAGCTGCACCACAAGCAAAGCTCAGGAAGCCTTAATCATGGTGAGAAATGATGTGCCACTCAGACATTAACATCTCACCAGAAAACCCAAGTTAGTATGCAAGTTGCAAACCCACATTCTAGGGTGGCCCTTCTAGTTCCCATGTTTCTTTCAGCATCTCGGCACCAACCATGGACAGGAAACCACAGGATTAATATTTAGGAATATCAAAAAGACAACAGCAACAGGAAGAAGGAGAGGTTTAGAAGAAGCTCCCGTTCATGGCTGGCTTCCGATCGCATTCTTGATGCTTCATCAAATCATTGCTAGAGTAAGCCTACATCCTAAGATCATGCATTTTCTATCCAAACAGACAAAGTTGCAACACAAGATAAGTGAGCTCATAGATTTTTCGGATACCTCTGATTCATCCTCCAAGCCCAGCTTCTTCACCAAGTACTTCATCAGCAAACTAATCGTCAGGCCTTCATCCCTGTAAAAAGCAGTAACAAAAAGAGATTTAATCGTTGCTAGCACAGCCATGAAGTCCTTCAGAGGAGGGAGAAGCTGCAAGTACTTTATCCTCAAGTAGCTCCTAGGTATCTGAGGCAAAAAAGGCTGCCTTCCTCTGCGAGAAAGAATGAGAACTCATAATATTGGGAAGAACGAAACACGTGAAGTGCACCCGGTGGTAGCACAAGTGCTCGACTTGGAAGCAGCAGCAGAAGATGATGATAGTGTCCATGTTAACTTACTGATTTGGAGCAGCCTGAAGTATGAGCCAAATGCCCGTTTGTCTTCTCGGTGGACTAACCACCCTTATACCGAAGCCACCCTCCGCCGACGCCCCGGGGCTCCCCAGTGGGCGCGCAAACTGGGCGGTCGTGAACTCCGGAATGGCCAGCATCGGCACAGACGACACATCAGCTCCGATCATCTCACCGGGGTTCCAACTTCCCCAGGGCATCTGCGGCGGGGCCAACCCTACCACCGGCACCACGGATGATGACGAAGACGAAGGCCTATCTCTCAACAGCTGGAGCTCGGTCAATACCTGTCGTCCCTCAGCGCGCTCTGACGGCGGCGACGCCAGGCCTAATCGGAGCCAATCTCCGGAGGAGGTACCGGGGTCGCCTTCTTCCTCCTTCTCCTCTTCTTCTTCCTCTTCCGGTGTTATGGTTCGAGAAGGCTCCTCGGCCATCGATCTCAACTTCGAGGAAGAATAATTCTTGATATCATCGCAACAGGCGTCCACCGCGAAACGGGCTCCGTAGGCCTCCTCGTGTTGTCGGCGGAGGAGATTGCAAACCTGGACCATCTTCTTATGGCATCTTCCCCGCCTTCGCTTCCAGCCAACCTAATCGATTTACAGATCCAAGTCCAAGGAGACGCGGTAGGTACGAGAACTAGGGGAGGAGGAGGAGGTGGATGAGATGTTCATGGCGGAGGAGAATTCTAAGAGCGGGTGGTGAGCTTACCGGCTTAACCTCCCTTTCTCAGCTTGTCGAAAGAGATGACCACGACGTGTGTCCCTTATTTATATAAATTCTAACCGATAAAAAAACAATAATTACACATTATTTCTTTTCACTTTTTATTTATTTTGATGTAACATTTACCCGAAAAAATACAAAAAAGAAAAAAGAACAAAACCAATAGACCCATCGCCTTAACTGCGGGGCCCACCGCCAACAATAATCTCTTCCCCGATTCAATGGGATCATAGCTCATCACATCCTTCGGTGCAAGAATAATTCTCTGATGAGGAATTCAATCGGATCGATGCGTTGCCAACCCAAGTACAGATCAATAGGGGATTATTATTATTATTTGGACAGCCTCAACATATAAAAATGGTCTCACGTACGTGACAATCTCAGCGCAATATTAATGGATCAAACTTGGGCGATCGGACCATCGAACGAACGATATCCATGCATGCGTCGACCTCATGCATGCACAGTCATCACAGCTCGCGCTACGATGGCAGGAGAGTTACAACCTTCGCTTTCGCGATTGAAAGCGATAAAGACCGCTTACCGGTTGGGCTTTCGACGGGCATCATCGATCTCTTGGGCGACAAGGGAGCCTTAATTACCCTACACTTTGGCACGGATGGGAGGTAATGACTTCATGCGAAGCAGAGCAGACGATTTCCGGCTCATTCCTGCATGTATAGCGAAAAGAGAGGAGTGCTGTCGGCGAACTGCGAATGCATATATACTCCACGGTTCATGAAGGAATTGGGTCTTAAATCCGAGGCTTGTTCTTGTCGTCATCGCAGACATATAGGTAAAGAGGCACATCTGCGACCTTGTCCTCTAATGGAGCATGAGTTTCTTTGGTTTCTCCGATCCACAGACGCAGCCAAATCAACTGATACTGCGTGTGACTGTGAAAGATATTGTTGCGGATGAAACTGAGATTTACCTTTGTTGTTCGGAACACCACAAGAGAGGCTGTAGCAGTAGCTTTTACGTCTCCAATGTGTACTATTTGCTCGGTAAAACCTGCACTCTTCCGTGCGTCACGGCACCATCATCAGCTTCGTCATCAACCCAACACTCGGGAAGAGACAAAGGACGCACGGTCGAGAAGATAATAGAAACTCCGTTTGACCTAGATGAATCCAACAAATGAGACAAAGGCAACACCGCCAGAGAGAGAGAGAGAGAGAGAGAAGATCCGGTTTCCCCCATTTGCACGATTGATGATTGCCACCGACTGCATGCATGAGTTTGTGCGCCAAGTGGGTTGTGCCGATGTTGCCTGAAGAAATGATGAGATGGTGCCTTTTTTTTTTGTTATTTTCAGATAAATTTTTATCTCTTACTGAATCCAGAAAAATAGAATAACAAAGTATTTTTCGGAGATACTGACATGTAGAGATCACTGTCGCATGCATTGAATCAATCAGAGAGTAGGTAAGATGAATAAATCATGTGTAGATAGGAACAGTACTGTTCTTCGCTTGTCGTAGTAATCAGTACATTCCATCGACAGAGAGCAGAAGGCTTTCCCATTGCTTCGCGACCTACCGCCACCAATATCTGTGCTATGAGCGAACATATTTGAGGTACTGAATTGTTGTTCGCATCCATCCTGTCAAATAAATTAATGTTCAGAATAACGCGAACTATTCCAATCATAAGCCATGAGAGACAGAGAGAGAGAGAAGGTGTCCTTTTTCTTTCTCAATATCAAAATCCTCCACTAAGGAAAAGAAAACTTAGGAAAGGGGAAAGGAGACATCATAAGATGTTTGAGGTCAGAGCAAACGATCATACATCTCTTCAGGCGATGATTCGAGACCACTTGCAACACAAGCATGCATAGCCCAAAAACCACTTGCAACACAAGCAAGCATACATCTCTCTGTGATGGCACATCACTATCTCTGTGCTGGTGCAGCCACCGGTTCCTTTCCTGCAGACCAATTATTCTGGCCGACGGTGGGATGAAGAAGAGAAGCCTTCTTTTTGGAACGAATTGACGCCTACGCTTGAGAATAGCCCAAAAACCAAGCCCAATTGTAGTCCTATCCTCTCTATGGGTCGTGACGGGCCCCACGGTGGACCGGCGGGTAAGCCAGGGGTCAAACCGTAATCGGGTGGGCGATTTGAAATCCAATAAGTGATATGGGCTTTCCAATCGCTTGTAGGATTGCGGAGTTCCCCTATAAATTGGCCGCCGGGGGGGGGTTTAGGGTTTATTTGTTGACTTCTCGCTTTCTTTCTCTTCCTCGGAGAGTCGGAGGCCATCGAGGAGGAGCGAAGTCGCTCGGCGGACGCAGGCATGTCTTTTCTATCTTTCTCATTCTTCCTTCCGTGATCATCCCATCATCCCATCTGGGTAGACGCGAGCGTCGGGAGGGCGAGGTTTTGGATGGGTTCCCCATGTCCAAGAACTGCGCCCCCGGTCCCCAACCTCTGTGGTTTTGCGTGGGCGCATTGCGTTCAGAACAAGTTGGTTTTTATGCCAGGGAGGGGCGTAGGGCAAGCGTTCGACGGCAACTCGTCGGAGTCGCCGGTGGTGAAGACCTAATTTCAAGAAGGACGCTAGAGTCAAAAAAAGAAATGAGGTGCGGCCTCTATGGCTCTCCGAGGGCGCTGGCTGTGCAAACCAAGCCTCTCGGGTTGGATTTGATGCCTGCGAGGGGCGGCGATCTCGCCTCGTAAAATGATTTCGATGATAGGACGGCAGAGAAATCTTGTAATGCGATTATAGAGGATAGCAGACATGAGGGTGACTGTGGAACGGAGGAGGAGCAAGGGAAATTGGAAGAAGGCCTTGGATAGGATGGCAAAATAGAGGATAGCAATCAGGAGGGCGACGGCGGAAGGGAAGAGGAGAAAGGGGATTTAGAGGAAGGCAAGATTTAGATAAATTGGAGAACGAACCATAGAAAAGGGGATCGGATGGTGGAAGAATCGCAAGATACGGGGAGAATCTGACAGGAATGTGAGCTTGGGTCCATGATTGGGGCAGAGTTTACGGCATAAATTTGAGCAAACGACCAAGTTTAGAGAAGCAGGGACTATAATGTGAAACCACAGAAATCAGAATTTGCAATAAGCAATACCAAAAAGAATACAGGAGAAAACAATTCATCGATAAAAAGAAAGAGCAATTCATACCTTTTTGCTGAATTATTCTGAAATCTTAGCGGTTCTTGGGTGACGAATGAACCATTTTGATGTTGTTCGTTTCCTCGTACATACAGATCTTTACGATTGTGCAAATATTTTGAAGACATGAACCCAATGTCCACACAAGCATTCATGGGAACTCAAGCAGTTCCTTCCGTAAGAACAGCAAAAACTCACTTGGTATTGAGCAATAGTTGCTGATTTTTGTGGTTGATGCTTAAACTGCTTCTGAATTTTGCGACAGGTGCTTCATCCTGATAATTTGCAGCAGCAGGAGCAATTGCTTTTGAGGTTTGCTTAGTTCTTATGCCCTATCAATCCTTACTACAATATTGTGTTATGAACTAAATCCAACTCTGTTGTATCCGGTGCAGTTTGCTGACTCACATAAAAGACCAGTATTCCACTCTTATAACAACTGAACAAACGAAACAGGTTCTTAGAATATTCCATGCATTTTAGTTAAGCCATCATTTACGGAATTTGGTAAACCCTGAACCATTCATTTCTCTTTGCTTTTGGCAGATTGATGCTATAGTTGACTCATTTGTTTCTGAGGGTCATAAAACAGAGAAAGAGCAGTATGGTGGCACCCGCAATCATATCCTTACAAACTTGACCCAAGAGCCCGCCATTTCTCCTGGCGGTATGGTTTCTTTGGAGCAACCATATTTCGCTTCCGAAGCAGTTGATTTGCCCGAGTTGGAATTACTCACCTTCTAGACAAAGAGTGAAGTGTAATCCATTGCTGAATCTTTGTGCAGATTACAATGAAGGCGGTCATTCTGCATCCACACTAGAGATTGTATCTGTGGGAGGAACCACAAACAGTAGGAAACGCAAAAGAGTTGAGGAGTATGTACCTTTGGACCATACCACAAAAAAACTAACTGGATCAGAATTGTCACTGAACAACTCTCCATTCAAATCCAATGAAACTGGGAAAACTCCACAATCAGCTTCCATGGTGAGGCCTGGCATTCAGTCGCTTTGTGACAGATTTATTTACTTCTTTTTCTTTTCTTATTTGTTCCTCCCGGAAGCCATTTGTAAGGAGACTCTGAATGGCCATGTCAATGTTCTGACTCGAAACCATTGCAGTTACTTGCTGCAATCTGAATGGCCATGTCAATGTTCTGACTGTAATATCGTTTATTGCTCACCAGACTCTGCATCTACTTGCTGCAATCTGAATGGCCATGTCAATGTTTATTTATTGCTCACGAGACTCAAAATCTTTGCATTTACCTGCTGCAATCTGAATGCCCATTTCAATGTTCTGATTGTAATATTGTTTATTGCTCACAAAACTTGAAACTTATTCCTTATCTGAATGGTCATCTCAATGTTCTGATTGTAATATTGTTCATTGCTCACGAGACTCGAAACCTTTGCATTTACTTGCTGCAATCTGAATGGCCATATCAATGTTCTGATTGTAATATTGTTTATTGCTCACCAGACTCCAACTTTGCATTTACTTGCTACAATCTGAATGACCTATCGTTCTGTATTTATAGAGCTCTCAAAATGACAGAAGGACGATCCACCTGAAACCTCGTGAGCCCCGTCATTCTCTCTTTCGCAATGTGGCCGGTGCATCTGAACCCAACAAAGTAAATCGTGTCATCGCTGGTCCTCACGACACCACAGGACATGGAAAACAAGCACCGACCGTTGCTTCTACCACAGCAGTTCCTCACGGTAACATCCGACTCGCTCCACGCAAAGCTAGTAAGGTGGAGGATGCGAAGCCGACTCCAACGCCCGCACCGGCTGTGGCTTCCCCAGAAAGTGCAAAAGGTGATACAAATCATCCGCTGGACGGGCGTAGTCTCGAGCGGAAAGCGGCTATCCAGAGAGAGAGAGCGAGAAGGCTCGTGGAACAGAATAGAATGTTCGCTTCTAGGAAGCTCTCTCTCGTCCTCGATTTGGACCACACCCTCCTCAATTCAACAAAGGTAGAACACAAACGTCCACACCTTGGTTTCTGCCCTACTGTTTACGCACGTTGACGATGACTTGCTGAAACAGTGATCTGCCCCTCTAGTTTGTAGATGTGGATCCAATGCAGGAAGAGCTTTTCAAGAGGAAAGAAGAGCAAGACCGAGCGAAGCCACAACGACATCTCTTCCGCCTCCGACACATGGGATTGTGGACTAAACTGAGACCCGGCATCTGGAATTTTCTGGAGAAGGCTAATGAGCTTTACGAGCTGCATATATACACTCTGGGAAGCAGGCCGTACGCTACCGCGATGGCAAAGCTGCTTGACCCGACCGGGTCTTTGTTTGGCGGGCGTGTCATGTCGGGGAGAGACGATGGTGATAGAATGGTCTCCCAGCGCAAAGATCTGAAAGGGGTTTTAGGACTGGAATGTGCCGCGGTGATCATGGACGACACTCCGAGTGTGTGGCCGAGTAGCCAACCCAACTTGATTGCTGTAGAGAGGTAAAAACCGTCCTGTAGCATGCATGTTCGGTCGGCGTCGAACTCCGTGGCCTGATGTTGTTCCTGCTGTCGTATTGCAGATATCATTTCTTCCCAAGCAGCAGACGCAAATTTGGAGTTCCCGGGCCTTCTCTTCTGGAAATGGATCGTGACGAGAGGGAGGAAGACGGCACTCTTGCGTCTTCTTTGGCGGTATTGACTTGACTGGATTTCCCCGAGCGTTGAACTTTCGTGATTCCTGCATCTCACGCCCTGCCTTTCTTTTTTGTGTTGACTCAGATCATCCAGCGAATTCACGACGACTTCTTCTCGCGTCACGCGGACGGTGATTTTAGAAAGCTACTGTTACGAAGCTAAAGGACTGAGCTTCGCCACCGGAAAAGCGTTGTGTTTCGTTGAGCTGTCTCGCTCCCAACAAGCAGTTGGCACGTTCGCCGCCTCCGATTAGGAGGAGTGAAATGACACACCCAAGGAGGTGCGTCGGATCCATGTAAATAAAAGCATTACAAAACGTGAATAAATTTGATCATTTCATAGGTTTCTATAATCTAAAATGTTTCGATTTTTAGTGAGTTATATTCGTATAGTTCCTCCACTCGCCGACACATAGGCAGAGAGAGATCCTCTCTCTCGTTTTCAAGAAGGTCCATTATCATTGAGGTGTACTTACTGTTCACCACTCCAAGGAGAAAGTAGGCTCTAAAAAAACAAAGGGAGGGGCAATCAAATTCTTCCATTTTTGAACCACTTTTACCTTTGTTTTGTGATTTTTTAGAGTAATCATCGAAAACATCCTGAGATATTATTGTTTGCATAGAAGATTAAGTGACGACGAAAAACACAGCAGAAGCACATCGTTTTGCTCAAAAACATTATCTTAGGAAGTAGCACATCGAAACTATTCTTGGAAACAGACAAGACAGATTTGTGTTTACTAGTAACTTGGATGATTTCCATGAGGTCACCCATATCCAACATACATGAGCACATAGACCGTAAGTGTCACAAGCAGTGTACTTCTTCTGGCTTCAAGTAAACAAACAAAGTCTCACTTCAGTCCCATCTTTTTTGTCTGCTCCGTTTCTCTTACAACAAATTTTCATGTTAATACCCTAAAATATAAATGGAGATCACATGGTATAAATTTGAACGAACAGCAGCAGTTTTTTTCCTTGGCCCTACACTAGCAACCTACAACATGGCACCGAACCGCAGACACAAAAGATATTGAATCTATACGGAAACAGCTGGGGGGATTGGCTCAGGCACACCACTCCCACCATTTAGAACTGTGACATTCCCGTCAGAGTCGACATCCACAATAGCCGAATCTCCCTCCTTGATCTCGCCAGCCAGCATTTTCTCAGCCAAGCTATCCTCCAAGAGCCTCATTATGGCTCTTCTAAGTGGCCTAGCTCCGTAGCTTGGGTTGTAACCTTCGTCCACCACCCTATCCTTGAATCTCTCTGTCACCTGAAGTTCTATATCCTTCACTTTCAGCCTGTCAAATACCTCCTTAAGCATTATGTCAGCAATCTCCTTGACCTCCAGTTTCGTCAGCTGTCGGAAGACGATCATTTCATCTAGCCGATTCAGGAATTCTGGTCGGAAGTACTGCTTCAACTCCTCAGTAACAAGGCTCTTGATCCGATTGTAGCTGCTATCCTTTTCATCATAGTCGAGATCAAAACCAATCCTCCGTCCTCCCTTCTCGATGACGCTGCTCCCTACATTGGACGTCATGATCAGGAGAGTATTCTTAAAATCTACTGTCCGCCCCTTGCTGTCTGTCAATCTCCCATCTTCTAATATCTGGAGCATCATGTTGAAAACATCAGGGTGGGCTTTCTCTATCTCATCAAAGAGGACAACAGTGTAGGGGCGACGTCGAACTGCTTCAGTAAGCTGACCACCCTCGGTGTAACCAACATAACCAGGTGGTGAACCGATGAGCTTGGAAACAGTGTGCCTCTCCATGAATTCACTCATATCAAGCCGGATCATGGCTTCTTCAGAGCCAAAATAATAGGAAGCCAGTGCCTTTGCCAATTCCGATTTTCCAACGCCAGTTGGACCAGAAAATATGAAGCTGGCAATTGGACGATTGGGATTCTTGAGACCAACACGAGCTCGACGAATGGCTCGACTTATCGCTTTCACAGCTTCATCCTGGCCGATAACACGTTTATGGAGAGTTTCTTCCATTTTGAGGAGACGGTCAGACTCATCACTCGATACTTTCTCCACAGGAATTCCAGTCCAAGATGATACTATGTGTTGTATGTCTGCTTCCGTCACAGTGGGACCTGAATCACCAGCCTCACTCTCTGCTTGGCTCATTTCTTTGCCCTTATCAATTAAGGCTGAGATTTGAGCCTTCAGCTCCATCTCTCGATCGCGCAACTCCCCTGCCTGTCAAAAAAGTTGATTTGTACAGGGTATTTTAGGTTCACATACACAAATAAGTTCAGGTAATGTAATTAGGCTACAATACTTCAATTATGCATATTTGACCGCTCGTCCTGGACACCATCTCAGCATAACATGTTCTTTAAAACACAACATCATTTAAAAGCGATCGAACAACCACATCTTTATTCCCAACCCGTGCTTTTGAAAGCAATCAAATCACTTGAGCTTAAATTAGAATAGATCATTGACCTTTTCAAAATCTTGGCTGCGGACTGCTTCATTTTTCTCTTTCGTAATCTGCCTAAGCTCTTTGTCAAGTTCTCTGGCTTCCTCAGGAAGCTGTCAAAAACAAAAATTTTATCTAAAGCGCACAGTGACAGAACAAAGAACCAGTAAATATAAGGCCTTACTTGTGCATGGCGAAGCCTAACACGAGAACCAGCTTCATCAATCAAGTCAATTGCTTTATCAGGTAGAAACCGGTCACTGAAGGTACAGAAGAATGTACAAAAAATTTGAATGAGAATAAGAATGACTTGAACTGTTGTATTAATTGTAGAATATGAAGTCTCATGAATATAAAAGAAAAATTGCACTTCTGAATGATCATTTCCTTCTCTTGTTAAACCAAGACGAATGAAGTGTTTTAAAATATACAACACTCATAGAATAGCATGATAAAGCATCACAAGAATTTGTAAATCTAAGCATATGCCACAAGGAGTATTAAGTTTTTTCCAGCAACTTAAAAAGAGAATAAATCCATCAAAATATTTAGATTATCAAGAAAGGAAGTTCCATGAATGTACCAAGACAATATATAGCATTGCAAATATGATGATGGCTGCTAGGGTGCTGAAGGCAGGTCCGGTGAACTTGACATAGGCGCAAAAAGGAGTGGAAGCATATGTCATGGCAATATTGTCACTCACAATGTGGCGCTAACATGAAGAAGTTATATAGGCCATGGCAATAAATGCCAATAGCACTGAATTATCTGAATGTAGGTAATTACAATGGTTATGACAGCATAAGTTGTCTATGGCAATGGAAATATTAAAATGTTAGGGGTTTATGGTGTTAATGACAGATGATCAAAACCACCCACAAGGATAAAGATAAATCATCTAGCATGCAGAACAAAAGCCTTGCATACCCTTCTATATACTCGAACATTCTGTTGATATAAATATAAGAAAAAGTTATAAAATACTGCCCATACCATTAAGGTACAGGCCGATTATATTGGTTTGACAACCAACTGGAACATGAACTGAGCAATTTTGCATGATTTGGTCCCATACAGATTGCACCACCCGACAAGCTCACCAAACCGGCTCACCAAGTAATAAACACTCGATGTCAAATGGTACTAAAAAGTACCATTTGACATTGATTTGGTCCCATACAGATTGTACCACCCGACAAGCTCACCAAACCGGCTCACCAAGCAATAAACACTCAATGTCAAATGGTACTAGAAAGTAAGCGTACTGTCCGATACCCACATCACCTTTTTTCTTAGGACAGTTGTCATACAATTGTTTCCATATCTCACTCTTATGCTTTCCAAAAGTGCCAAGTTCAATCTGGTATTGACCACACCACCTGGTGATCTCACCATACCAAGCTTACCTTACCTGGGCAATACTTGTATCATCCAACACTCTCATTCCCTTTTTTCCTCCTAATGATAGCTATGACATAGTTGTTTCCGTATCTCCCCCTCTTTCTTACGCTTTCTCTCTTTCCCAACCATTGTCTCCTTCCCATGTCTCTGCCACTGCCTTCTCACTATGTTGCTGCTGTCTCCTCTTCCCGTTGTATCACCACCACCTTCTCCCCATTGCATCATTGTCACCACCTCCTTCTGGTATGCATCGTCATCTCCCCCTCTCTGCTTTCCCCTCTGCCTCCTCTGCATTCTCTTTCTTCTCCACCTTTTCCTCGACCTCCTCTCAAGCCTCCACGACCTCCTTCGTCCAAACCCATATTTGTTGGCATGGAAGGTACATCCACCAGACAGTTGGCATGAGGCCATATAGTGTACGCCCCACCATAATGATATCAAACCAATCTACTTAAGGACCAAAATTGGTACCCGACTCAATTTTAGAACCTCTACAGTAACCTTACTATAATCTTGAGAATTCAACATCCAACAAGTGTTTTGAACATTCCAAGTGTGCCAAACTGCTTGGTCTTTATATTTTTAATAGGCAAGTATTGCAAAGACCTACATGCAAATTACATGTATATCAATGAATTTGAAAATCGATCACAACCTAGAATTCTCTCTGATTACTAAAAAAGAAACTTCCTAAAAGCCAAAGATGTTTCTCCACTTCTTCCATCACGGAATTAAATTTGTCTTGTCTAACATTAAAAACAAAGGACAAGTAGCATTATTAGAAACTATTATCATCCATCAAATATCATTTCCTACCCTTCTAATTTATACATAAATCATCAACCATGCACGTTCTTTACTGCTACTTCCTAGGACTTATTACATTTTATGATACTTATATTCTTCAACTATAATAATCCTCAATTAAGTATTTCTAGTTTTTATTGTCATAAACTGCTGCAAGTATATTATAAGTGAATTCTAGTATAATGAACATTTAATAGGAAATCAATCAACTGAAAATTAAAATGGATCATTCCCAGTGGAAAGACACGTGCCCTGAATTTAAATATCAAATCTACAAACAACACAAAATTAGTTTGCATCAACTAGAGCATGTCAATCCACATGAAAATAACAAACAGCAACAACACATTGAGGCAAGGTTTTAAATGCCGACCATTATCGATATGTGCAGCAGCAATGGAATGTGATCAGGTCAAAAAGAAGAATCATAAGAGGCAAGTTCTTATATTTTATGCATGTCAAACATATCCATTAGGCTTGTTAAATACAACAGACGTATTAATACATAATTCACTAACCTAATATACTGGTAAGACAACTGAGCAGCAGCAATTAAAGCCTCATCAGTGTAACGAAGTTTATGGTGAATCTCATATCTTTCACGAAGCCCTCTAAGAATCAGTATTGTCTCATCAACTGTTGGTTCTGGAACTCTTACAGGTTGAAAACGTCTCTCCAAAGCAGGATCCTTCTCGATGTGTTTCCTGTATTCATCAAGTGTTGTGGCTCCAATACACTGAAATAAATTATATAAGAAATTAATGTTGAAACTTGAAAGATACTTCCTTTAGACTTTTGAGATAAGAGAATCTGTAGTGAAAAAAACTGATTCTTAACAAATAGGATGAGATCACATATAACAGGCACAAAAGAAACGGATATAATTATCAAGTCTCGACCTGCAATTCACCTCTGGCGAGAGCTGGTTTTAAGATATTAGCAGCATCTATTGCACCTTCTGCTGCTCCAGCTCCAATTAATGTGTGTACTTCATCAATGAAGAGTATTATTTCATCACTTTGTTTAATTTCCTCCATCAACTTTTTTAACCTTTCTTCAAACTCTCCACGGTATTTAGTACCAGCAACAAGAAGCCCCATATCAAGGGTAATCACCTGGATTGTAAAGCTAGTTAATTATCTTTAAACTGACAGAAGCAGAATGACAGAGATATGGGAATTTGCAGCAGGCATTAAAAATCTCTTCCACTAACAAGCCTTTATAAATTTCTTCATGTTACAACAGAAATATCACAAAGAGTAACTGATATGAAAGTGCTCAATGAATATTTAAATTTTTGCATACTTTTTTTCCTTCAATTGTTTCTGGAACATCGCCATTAGCTATACGTTGAGCAAGTCCTTCTGCAATTGCTGTCTTTCCCACACCAGGTTCCCCAATTAGGCATGGATTGTTCTTCGTACGCCTTCCAAGAATTTGCGTAACACGCTCTATCTGGTCCTGCCTGCCAACAACAGGATCTAGCTTTCCCTGTGGAGTAATTATATTTCTCAGATATAAATAAGATCAAACAAGCATTTTCCAGAGTGAAATATTGAAAAAAATTACCTCCTCTGCTAACTTTGTCAAATTAGTTCCGTACTCCTCAAGTGTAGGCATCTTATTACCACTGCTTCCTCCCCCTACCCCAGCACCAACAGCTTCAGTTGTTTCACCGACCATTCGAATGACCTGTTCGATAATGAAGCTCAAAAAGTCACGTCACAACTAAAATTTATGACAGTGCAGAACAAGATCTAATCAAAAAATTGCCTGGGTCCGTATGTTGCTTGGATCAGCTCCAAGACTCTCGAGCACACGAGCAGCCACACCTTCACCCTCACGAAGAAGCCCAAGAAGCAGGTGCTCAGATCCTATATAGTTATGACCTGTATATTCAGCAAAATCAGACATTAAGTCCAACTTAAATACAAGGAAGATGAATAGAAAAATGAATAACAAGAAGTTGTTCATTCATGTGATCATACTTGTCGACAAATGTTGATGGGAAAATTCAGAAGGTATGAGATCCAATAATAAAAAAACAACCTGTAATTTGTCAGTTAATCCTAACCAGTGCAAGTAAGACCAACAGCAACAATCGAACATGCAATTAGCTTGGAATAATGAAAAGTGGAACCATTGTTCAGATAGATACACATAGAAGCTTTAAATTTTGCTTCAGCAGAGTTCCATCAGTTTGATGGTATTCTACTTGCTAGTTATGGTGGAACCATTAATGCTTTACTTTTTACTCTTCATATAGAATACAAATGCATCCACTTCAACAAACTAAATCTCTAATGCATCCCAAATCATGTGGATACAAAGGTTCCCTGCGGCAAAGGAAGTATGATCCACATGATAAAAGAAAACTTGGAATGAACTAGATATCCTAAACAGACAAATATGATATTAGCAGATAGCAAGATAGGCAGTCATTAGAATAATGCTTTCGACTTAAAGTATTTCAAATTAACAAAAACAAGACCAAAAAGTTTGTTTTAGGGCAAAAATCCACAAAGGAAGGTCTTAGAGAAGTACCGAGTTGACGAGCTTCCTCTAAAGAGAGTTCAAGAACACGTTTTGCACGTGGTGTAAAAGGTATCTCAACAGCAACAAAACCACTTCCCCTTCCAATAATCTTCTCCACTTCCACTCGAGCATCTTTAAGATTTATTCCCATTGATTTTAAAACTTTTGCTGCAATACCAGTCCCTTCGCCGATTAGGCCCAACAGTATCTGTTCTGTTCCAACAAAGTTGTGGCCTAGACGCCTAGCTTCTTCTTGTGCAAGCATGATAACTTTAATTGCCTTCTCTGTAAAGCGTTCAAACATAGCTTTAGCAACTCCTCGACTGGCTTTTCCTCGTGAATAAGAGATATATCCTGAAACCACTGAATGAAAATCCCGTTGATTTCTTGATGAGAATTCCACATTATCTGATCTTCGCAAGCCTGCAAAACCTTGCAGTCGTAGCGAGTGCTTTCGCGGTTGGCACATCATTTTGGAACCTCTTTTAACCTTTCCAGAGCCTCGGAGATGACTTTGGATCCTGTTCACTGCAACAGTAGGAAGAATTGCTGACTGAACCAAAGAACCAGCCATCTCTTCTTCTATTAGGAGACAATTTCACAGATCTTCACAACACCTGCAGGCAGCAAAAAATTGAAGGACATATATATTAACATACCCCCTCTCAACAAATTATAAACCTAGTTAACTAACAGCATAGTGAATACGATGGGATAAGCCAAGCATAGCAAAAGGAAAAGGTGTCATATAAAGAGCTGTATTAGGGTAAAAGGAAAAGCTGTAACATGCAAATAGCAAAAAGAAACCCTGAATCTAGAAAGCGTACTACCAAGTTAAAGTCAGAAAAATAGAAACAATCAAATTGCGAAGGCACAGAACAGGACTGCATCAATTCCCCAGTATTGTCATACACAATATGAAGGATAGTTAGAGACATTGAAAAAGTATTATGATATTCTATATCATTAAGGGTTCACGGAATCACTCACAGAGCATGTATGGAGGCCTTTTTTTTTTTCAGAAAGCAATAATAGACAGAATATTATATATTAAAACAAGTCAAATCAAGAACATCGAACACCTACTATACACTTGTTTCATATAAATTCATGTTGTAATTTAGAAAATACTGCAATGTGAAAAGAAGCTACAGTCATTCGTGAAGAAGATTGTGACAAACCATGCGAGGCCCTACCGTCACTAAATTAGACGTCCCAACTTCTACTCCGATCGGAGACTTCAACTCACTGAACAAACTATACTATCCAAGAAACGGATTTCGGCAGCAATCGTGTACGAATCAAGAATTTCAGCGCTACATCAGGTACATCTAATGTGCTTATACGACTCACAAGCCACAACGTTGTACAATCAAATGAAAGCCTAGATTTCCAAGAAACGATCAAATCAAAGGAGACTAGATCATTAACGTGATGACAGTCGGAAAGAAAACAACGCCTGATGAACCGAAATTTCCGTAATCTAACCCGAAGGATCCGTCCAAACGAGGCGGATTCGACACCTATGATTGCAGCCACTGAGCCGAACGAGCAGATGAAGCCCTGGAAGAGAACAAGGTGTGCAAGAAACTACCTCCGATTTGGGGGATGACGAGTCGACGACGTAACCCTGGCGAGAAAGCGTTGAAGAGCTCTTCTCCTTTGTCGATGAGGAGATAACTCGGGCAAGGATATGATATCCTATAATTGCGTTACCTAAAGTTTTATTGGATATAGTGTGTAGGTCCCACCTAAATAGTTACAGTGTATGCGGGTAAGGTACACGTCTCAGTGTAAAGAGTGATAAAAGACAAACGATACAGTGAACCCGAGCGCATCCTATCAGAGTGCAGTCGAGCTGGTGCTGTTGCATCAATATTCGTCCAAAGTAAGAATCTAATGGCGGAAAAATATTGTTCGGGTCTTCTTATTCCCAGCTCGAGCGCACAGTATCGCTTCCACAACCTCGTCGAGGCCGGCCGGCCGGCCGTGTTGCGTGTTTCAGATCAACGATGGATTTGATATGCGATTCATCAAGATTCGCGAGGTAAGGAAATCTGAGGGTGGAGAATCTCGTCCGTTGGTTCTCATTTGACAGGCGACGTGGATGACCGCAACCGCCAGAGCTCACCTTCGGTTGGGTTCAAATCCGAACCTGGTTTACCCGACCCAAAACATTTGGGCCGGGAAATGATGCAAAACCCTATCTAAATTAAATCCAAACATAATACATTATTTACTATAGCTCATAAATTAGCTATAACAACTCCAGTAATTGACTCAACCCTTCTCTAACCCGATTCAATTGTAGACCAAGAAATTAGTGTGGGATTTAGGATTTCTTATACGACGGACTTAAACGGGTCAAGTAACTCGGGTTTGGCCCGTTTATTTGGCCCTTTACATGGGCCCAACATTTTGAACATAGGAAGAGAGGAACCAATATGCCAAATACAATCCCTGATTTAAAGATGAAACCGAGTAGAATGCTTCTCTTTCTAATTGAAATATCTACACTTTATATTTCAAGGAATATGGAACACAAAATTTGTTCAGGAGATCCCTTTTTAAATCTTTTATTTATGATAAGGATAATCCTGGTAGTCTTCAGCTCCTCTGGCCACATAAATAATACCTAAGCGAAAGCTCGGAAACTATCTATTCCCTACGACCGTTAGTAAGAGATCATATCGCCTACCACTGCTTTCCAAAATGAGGTCGTGAGATCCACTCCTCGCCGAGCCCATAGCTGAGAAAGAGAATCTAACTCACATTAATAATCGATGGCATAGTCTGACTTCACTAGTTTTTTCTTCCGGATAAACAATGAATGAACCACACCTTGCCTGACCCAAAGAAGCAAGGAAGACAAACTGAAAAACCTCACCCCAACAATCCACATATATTGTTCTTGGGGGCACACGCCAACAAACTACTCGCATTAAATGTCTCCACTACAAAGGGTAAAGGAGATATTAACGGAGATCCATTTGTTTTACCCAACACCCAAGCATAAATGTCAAACTGGGGCAAGTAAGTAAAAAAGATTATTTATTCTATCATTTATATTACTAATATTGTTGTCTTTCCTTTTTTTTGACTTAAGCATCGGAAGAATCGAGCTGGGACACCTTCAACACAGACTTATTTTGCAGAATCATCAAAGTAGCTCGGAGGCATGCCTAGGCGAGTACCCAACGGAGAGGACTGCCCAACTCCTAAGGAATCATCTTTTCCTACATATTTCTTTATTTTTCTCGCAATGTAATGTATGTTCTTCGTATCAATCAAGTAAAGTTATGGATTCACATTTTTTATAATGAATCAATTAGACTAACTTACCAGTAGATAGTTTTTGTATGTTAATAATTTATATTTATTTTGAATAGTTAGAATTATAATTATTTTATTTCTTGAACGTGTTATGATATTTCAATCAATTTTAATAGACACATCACGTAAATATAATAAAAAGATGTTGCATGACTTCATTTATGCTGCCCGAGATTGGATGGCATGGAGGCTGCACAGTCAACAGACACTGCGGAGGGGGTAGGCAGTCAGCAATAAAGAAAGAGAAGGCATGGGAGGTGGGGTTTGGACTTTTCCTGCTTCATCCTTCGCCTCTACTAACATATGCATTGCTTTGTTCTTTCATGAACTGAAAGATCACATACAAACTATTTTATTGCATGATCTGATGAACAAGAAACATCAAAGATGATCCAACAACAGTTTTACCTCAGCAGAAAGCCAAACCAAATCGAATCAAAGCTACAAGTCGTTCAGCTTCACAGGTTCTACTGTTGCATATTACCCATGTCTTCTTCTGGAATTGATGCTGTTAAAGTTGATCTCCGCCTGTCAGACTCAACCCCTTCTTCATTCTTGCTGCATGTGATCATGATGTTGACTCCCTGAGGAGTGTTTTATTGTCCTCGATGCAGATGCAGCTCAAGTAATTCTCATCTCTTCCTAACTTTGGTCATAAATGTGAAGGAAACAGGGTGGTAAATCTTCCATTTTCGTTCTGTAGGAGAGTATGTTGGGAACGCAAGCTGAAGCCAGTTGCTCTGATGGTGCGAGTTTAGAGAGAGAGAGAGAGGTGACTGCGTGCAGCAAATGGACGATGACAGGGCGAGCTTAGCAGTAAGCATCGGTGCGACATGCATGAAAGCGGAGGAAACCGATCCCAAGTTGAGCAGAGGGGACGATCACGAGAGTCTTGGGTTCCTCCAATCCTTTTCTCTCTCCCATTTATTCCCACCCTGCACCACTTGGCAGCCCCTCCCTCTCTCTCTCCTGTCTCCCTGTTTGTCTCCTCTGCCATTAATGACGCCTTGCTTGGGACCTCTTCCGGCCGCTCATGCACGGCCCCCACCCACCTCACCCCCTCTACCTCCTTGTGTGGTCATTGCCCGTTTACCAGGCAAGACAGTAGAGCTCCACAGCTTGCCCAAGTTATTATTACCACCAGAAGAACTCCCTTCGCCAGCTCTCGAAACGTTGGCTGGCGTCTAAAGTTCCCTCGGCACAGAGTGAGAGAGAGGACTTGCCCATGTCTTTGTTCCCTTCTCACTCCATAATTTTACGCACAAGAAAACCTTAATGTCCTTCACATGAACATGGCTGGCCTCATTTGCTGATCTCCATGGCACATGGACCACTCCTCGATCCAATCCAGACGTCAGTGATGTTCTTCTACCTGCTCTTGTAGCTGCCATTGCTACAACAGAAGGTACCGCCACACATTGGTGAAAACTGCAGGTCAAAAGCTTTTATTCTGAAAAGCAGCAGTCAGATCATTAGTTCTACGCTTTAGAGTTTCCTCGCAATCGATAAGCTTATTTGAACTGTCTTGTATAGATCAAGAAGCTGAAATGTTTTTTCAGCTCTTTTCGATCTCCCATCAATGGACAAAATCGACACAAACTTCGCCTTTGATGCAGAAAACTTCTGTTCATTGCATGAGTGGGTGGCCACTCGGTGGCCAAGCAAAAGCAAACTGAGCCTTATTATATTATGTCTCATCTTAGGCCACCACCTCAGGACATGATTCCAAGCAGAGAAGCTGTTCCCAGAAGTAGACGCAAGTCAAAGATCTTTGAGATGGATGAATCCTGATTTACCCGGTGACTGTAATTAGGAGCCGACGGCATTACCAGCTGCATTGGATTCAGAAAAAAGAGGCGTGAGCGGTCCGTCGAACTTGACAACAGCAGTGGGAACGTAAAATGAGTGTGTACATTTAGCCACGGCTGTTTTGGGACTCTAAAACGCTGTAAGAATAGCTAGTGGCACGAAGAGGGCAGACGACGAGCACACCACGCGTCTCTCTTCAAGAACAGGACGAAACGTTTCAAACCCCACTCCTCCGAGTCCGAGAGCGACCGCTGCAAGAGGTTTAAAGCCGGAAAACCGAACCGGGATTCCTCCGTCTGTCTTCTTCTCTAACACGAGCTAGGAACAGGGGAAGGAGAAGGGAGAAGCCATGCTGTCCAGGATCAATGGCGTCGTGTGGTCAGAAGAAGGAGGCGACGAGGAGGACGCGGCGTCGTGGACGAGAGCAAGCGCGCCCGGGGCCAGCGGTGGAGCGATGGGCCAGAGCAAGGACGAGCTCGGCCTCCCTAGCTTCAAGTCCATGCTCGACGACGACTGGTACCTGGGCGGCGTCGCCGCCGCCTCCAACGCCTTGCCTTCAGCCGACGCCCAACACCCCTTCGAAGCCTTCCAGACCCATCAAGACGTAGCCTTTTCCTCGAGCGCGAAGCCGCACGAGGCCTTGCTGCTCCCACCCGTCGACGAACTCGATCAAAACCAGCCCTTTTTCCCGGCAAAATCTGCCCTTTCCTCTCTCTTCGGCGCCGTTTGCTCCAATCCCTTCGACGCCGGGCTTGATCTCGGGTGCGACGCTCCGGCGTTTCTTGGGGCTCCCCATATGTCCCATTCCACTAACCTGATGAACAGAAGCGGCAGCGGCGGGGATGGAGTCCTTGGTTTCGGCGGAATGGGGGCGGACGACCAACTCGGTTGTGCCGATCTGAGCCCTGGAGCTGATTTCTCCGGTGGCCGCCTGCTGCCCCCGTCCGATACTTGTTCCGGTTCTATCTCCGGTGGCACCTTCGGCCCCATGGGCTTCGACAGCTTCGAGAATTCTCCATTGCTCAACCGTTCTAAGGTGTTGCGGCCTCTGGAGATCTTCCCTCCTGTGGGCGCGCAGCCGACTCTGTTCCAGAAGCGGGCGGCGGCCGCTCTCCGCCAGAATTCAGGGGTTGCTGGCGAAAAAGGTGGCTTCTTGGGGCTATGGGGCTCGGAAGGAGTGGGACACGGTAACCGTGGGAAGTCAGCTTTGGAAGAAGAGAACGAGAAGAAGAGGAATGGGAATGAGGACGACGAGATAGACGATGGAAGCATGGACGCATCAGGATTGAATTACGACACGGATGATGCTGCAGGGGAGAGTGCCAAGGGCGAGGAAAATGCGAAGGACGGTGGTGGAGGTAGCAACTCGATGGCCAACAGCACAGTGACGGGTGGTGGAGACCACAAGGGGAAGAAGAAGGGCCTCCCTGCAAAGAACCTGATGGCGGAGAGAAGGAGAAGGAAGAAGCTCAATGATCGGCTTTACATGCTTAGATCTGTTGTCCCCAAGATCAGCAAGGTGAAAAATCTCACACCCGTCAGCTCTTGGTTACTGCCATAAAGTTTCTTAAAGTTTCCTTAATCTTTTAGGTTATTCAGCTGCATGTCTCCTGTAAACCAATTTGTAAGAAGCAAAATTTGAAGTTCTCGACTTTTAGTTGTTTGTTGCTCCTCATGTTCTTGCAGTGTTTGCTTGG